CCCCGCCAATGGCGCGCGGCCCGCTGCTGCCGCGCCACGCCCCCCGACGGACAGCCAGTCAGAGACCCGGACTTCTTTCCCTCCCTCCACCCGCACGTCGGGCTCACGCCCCCCTGTTATCGAGCGAGGCCAATTACGTCGCTCCCCGGGGGAGGGGGTGGGGAGTCGGCCAAACACCGCGCCAATCGCAGCCTCCCTGGAGGCGAGCCACGCCCCCGGGGGTGTGCCACCGCGCCGGCAGCGCCTCCACCAATCACCGGCTGCACCTTCCCAGCCCTGCGGCCCCACAGACTCCCGCGCGGGCCACGCCCCTGAGAAGAGCCCAATGAGCGGCGAGCTCCCGATCACACCCTCACACCTCCGCCCAGGGGCCCCGCCCCGGGAAGGGCGGGCAGGGAGCCGGCAGCCCCCGAGCCCCCAGCCGGTGCGAGCAGGCAATGTCCCAACCCCGGGCAGGGCGCTAGCAGCAGGGAGCAGCAGCAGCTGCGGGGCTGGCAGGGGGCTGGCAGTGCCAGGCAGGACCCAACAGCATGCCCCTGGTCACAGCAGGGCAGGCTCAGTCGTCCCCCCCCGGGACGGGGCAGCCCCGGTGCTGCAGGAGGTAGGGGACATCCTCTCCCCAGCTCTGCCGGGGGGGCAGGGGGAACGTTCTGCCCCTTAGATGGGACACGGCACTGAGGGGGCCGCTGTTGGGGGGGTGAACACCTCCCGCTCCTGGCCTCAGGGGCACCCAGATCCATCACCCCTGCCCCCAGCCACGCTCACGGACCACTCGCTGGTGAGACAGAGACGCTTTAATGGCCCCAGGGCTGAGCCCACAGCCGCTCCCTCCCCCCCGCGCTCAGTCGACCACCAGGCTGCTGCTGACCGCCGGCAGGAGCTCGAAGAAGCCCTGGAAGGAGACAGGCCGTCAGGGTGGGGGGACAGGCAGCGGCTCCCCGTTGGGTTACGCGCGGCGTCATAGCAGGCAGCTCCTCGCAGAGAGCAGGACCGCGTTGCCATGGTAACCCATCACTGACTCAAGGATATCGCCGGTTGCCATAGGAACCATTTGGGGATGGCAGTCGCCAGGGAAGGCTGGGATGCGAGGGGGCACCTCCGGATGCAGCCAGTACCGGCGGGATGGCCAGGCTCAGCCCCAAGGATGGGGGCTGGATGGGGACACGGGGATGCGGGAGATGTGGAGCAACAGGGAGGGGGCTTTGGTGCAAGACAGGGGACACGGGTCTCACCTTAAAGAGGGTGATGCTCTGGAGCACCCCTGAGGTGCAGCACATCTCCCGGATGGAGTGCATGGCCAGCTGTGGGCAGCCGATGTCCAGCACGCGCAGCCCCAGGCGGGAGGCCAGAATGGGGCCGATGGTGGTGCCGCAGGGCGTGTCGTTGCGCACCATGAACTCCTGCACGGGGACACGGCCTCAGCAGCTGCCCACGCTGCCCAGACGGCATCCCAGCTGGGACCCCGGGGCCCGAAGGGAGGCAACCTGGGATGGGGAAGCAGCACCATCCCCGAACCAGGATGCAAAATCCCCCAGAGATGGGATGTGCTCAGGCCAGGCTCTCCCCTCCTGTTCCCGAGCCTGCTCCCCGAGGCAGCCCCTGAGCTGGAGCCCCAGAGAAGGAGGCAGTGCAGACCTCGGCGGGGACCAGCATGGTAACTGAGGGGTGGGGGTCTGGCACAGGCCCCCCTCTCCTGAACGCAGGGCAGGGTGGCGGCCCAAGCTGTAACGTTCACGGAGGGCTCGCGCAGCCCCACTCACCTGCAGAGGGACACCCACGCGGGCGGCGATGTCCCGGATAACAGCTTCGGTGACAGCCGTGGAGGCGTAGCGCTGGTTGCTGTTCACTTTGATGACGGGGCCCTGCACAAGGGAAGGCACCGCAGGCCCGTGATTGACACCAGGGATAGTCGGTGTGTCTGGAAACACCCGTGCCCGGGCAATGCTATCCCAGCCCAACCCACCAGTCCATTCTCCCCTCCCTGGGTGATCCGTGGGGATGGGGACAGCCCCAGCTCAGAGCAGGGAAGGGCTCCAGGGCCAAGGCAGCGGTTCCAACTGATTAACACCAGATGTGTGGCATGGCCAAATTGTGCTGCGGCACAAATGTCTCCCATGTGAGTGCTGTTGAGTTGCCCCCCCGGGACCGTGCTCCAGGGAGCAGCTGGGTGTTTCACAGCACTGCAGGAGAGACGTACAGCGTCCGTCCCAGCCCAAAGCAGAGGGCTGCCCTCACCTTGTGGAAGGCCGGACGATGATTCTCCTCATGCTTGTCCCTGCAAAAGAGAAGCAGGAGTTTCATGCTACAGCCCTCCCTCCCTGCTGTGACAAGGACTATCCTATCTGTACTCCCTGGGGAACGACGGGGATACGTCTGCCCAGCTGGCACAGCAGGCTGCCCTGGCCTACGGCACAGCTCAGACTACTCACACATAGTTAGGGTGCACAGCGTGGGCCATATCGGCGCTGATCATGTAGGACTTGGCCACGGCCTCCTCGAAGGCTGTCAGGTTTTGCGGCGATGCCGAGATCCGGCGCAGCACCAGCTCCGTCAGCAAGGACTCCGCGCCCTGTGCACTCTCTGACCCTACCTGCCAAGGACCACTGTCAGCACAACCCACATGGTGCAACCCCCCCCAGCACCCCAGGGACCGACTAAGTGACAGGGGGCTCCCCAAAGCCAGCAGAGTGCTTCCAACCACACCAGTGCTTCCCACTCCTGCCTGGGCAATGCTCCACAGGGGGTAAGCAAACCTCCCCTTGCCTCGCCAGGGCCTAGGATCTATCTCCTGTTAGGCTTGGCTGGGGGAGAGCAAAGAACATGGAACCCCTCCCTGCGCTAGCCACCCCAGGGCTGAGCCCCTCACTCACCTCCTCGTTGTCATAGAGCGCGATGAGACGCACGTTGGGCTCCTGGGAGAGGGAGGAGGGTGTCGCGCACGAGTCAATCAAGGCCTGCAGCGTTAGAGGAGAAAGGACACCAGCTTGAGTGCCATCCCATCCCGGCAAGCTCAGCACTGAGCTGGCAGGAACTTCTCAGGAGAGCCCAAAGCACTGAGGAAAGGAGCTGTGGGCACACACGTTACCCAGTGAGAGCAGGAGTCACCCCGGGAGCTGCTGGGAACCCCCCCACACCCAGCAAAGGTGGCAGCCCCGCCCCCCATCCAACCCCAGATCCTCCAACAAGCCAGATCTACCCTATAGGAACACACCTCCCTGCAGAGCCTCAGTCCAGGCCACAGCCCCGCCAAGCTGAGCTGGGGTGCATGGAGGCCATGCTGCGGCCTCCAGGCTCCTTTCTCCCTCCTGCTCACCTGAAGGGCACAGTAGCAGCTGTGCAGGTTGTCCAGGCGTGGGGAAAAGATGAATTCGTCAAAGGCACCACCCAGCGTCTGCAGACAGAGAGCCAGGAGGAGAAGGGCATAGGCTCTGGGTCACCAAAAAGTACCTGCCACTGGGTATCCATTCCAGTCCCCTCATCTCTGCTCCTCAGGAGCTGCCGCCTCTCATTCCACTCAGCTCCCAGCCCTGGCATGCTCCAGGCAGAGGAAGTGTGCCGGGTAAAAC